AATAGTGCTACTCGCACTGCAGTGAACAAAAATAACATAATGACACGTACATCAATAGATTATATCATAACGAACTTCAGACCCAAGCAATTGACATGTACAATCTATAAACCCCACATTTCAGACCACACTGCACAACTTCTTTCGCTCTCTCATGCATCCCACGACAAGCTCGAACATCAAGACAACCACTTGCTCATGACAAGGCCCATAAATGACGATAATTTAAATCACCTCAAAGTTAGCTTAGCTCAGGAAAACTGGAATATTGGCGAGGACGATATTGGTGCAGAATTTGAACGGTTTCTCAAAAAATTTTTGTGGCATTTTGATTTGAAATGTCCCCAGATGCATAAAACACGACACAAAAAGCAGAAATCTAAACCGTGGGTGACGCCAAAAATCCAACAGTCCAGCCTAGATCTAAGAGAACTACATAATTTGGTGAAAAGGCATGAAGACAATGTAAATATGAGACAGCAGTACATTGACAACAAGAAGGAACACAAGAAACTAATTTCTTCAACAAAAAAAGAGTATTACAGTAGTTTAATAAAATCCAGCAACAACAAAGCTAAAAAAATATGGGAAATAGTCAATGAAGAAACCGGAAGAGTAAAGAAACATCATCAAATAGTGCTGAAAAATGAAGACAAAGAATTTACTGACACCCTCGTACCCGACAAGTTTGGCAAGTATTTTTCCACAATAGCAGAGAGCAAGTTAGCAGAACACTTTAAATGTGACAACCCATCAAGATGTCCATCACAAAATCGGGTAGCATCATCAATGTTCTACGAGGATGTCACCACTGAAGAGATCGGGGAAGTAATCAGCAGCCTTCCAAATAAAAGAAGCAGTGGAAATGATGGAATTTCAACGCGTGTGATAAAGTTTGTGAAACGTGAAATATCTTCCCCCCTATCAGTCCATATTAATAAATCAGTGAAGCAAGGTAAATTCCCGAAATGCTTGAAACTAGCTATTGTTATTCTCGTATACAAAAAGGGTGACCGTACAGACCTTGAAAACTACAGGCCAATATCACTTTTATCGATGATCTCTAAAGTCATTGAAAAATGTCTGTATAAACGTATATTATGTTTTCTCAATCGCTATAATGTCTTATCAGATACCCAGCATGGGTTTAGACCCTCACGATCTATAGAAACGGCGACCTTTGACTTTTTTTCCCATATATATAGGGAAGTAGACGAAAACAGATACGTTGCTGGACTATTTTTTGACCTTTCGAAAGCATTCGATATAATGGATATTTCGATTATCGTGGAAAAATTGTACTGCTTAGGTATAAGGGATTTTATTCTCAGCTGGATCCAGTCTTTCCTCATAGATAGAAAATTGAAAACGAAGGTCAATGGTCATACGTCAACTCAATATTCCGTGAATATAGGTGCGGCACAAGGCTCAGTACTTGCACCACTGCACTTCATTGTATACATAAATGACTTGAAATTGTCTGGCTTCATGATTAATTATGTGGTTGACACATCTATCGTCGTCAGTGCCACGACACCGCAGGATCTTCTCGAATCTATTGAGAAAGTCAAAAGTGAAATGAGCAAGTGGTGCCAGTCTAACCGCCTCATTTTGAATGAAGATAAGACTGTTGAAATTCATTTCTTCACAAGAAACCACGCATGGATATTGATAGCTTTTCAGATCAAACTGTCTTCTTAGGAACTTATGTTGTTAGTAAGTTAAGCTGGCAACCACAAATAAATCACATTTGCAACAAAATTAACAGTGCTTATTTTGCAACATTGAAATTAAAGCCTAACATCCATCTTAACTCACTCTTAGATATGTACTACGCGCTAGTTTATTCTCACCTCACTAACAATATAATCATATGGGGACAGGCAACAATGATTAACAGATTATTCATCCTGCAAAAAAGAGTACTTCGATTAATTTTTAATATTAATAAGAGGGACTCTTGTAAAGAAATATTTAGACGCTATAATCTGCTTACATTAACTTCCATCTATATCTACAAATGTGCCATCTTCGCATTTGAACATAGCAATAGATTTGTTCGTAACAACGCCATTAATAGTCAATACAACACTAGAATAGGGCATGATCTGAGTATACCGATACATAACTCTGCCTTATTCCAAAAATCTCCCACTCTAGCGTGCACTAAGGTATACAATAATCTGCCGAGTGAGTTGCGGAGAAGCACTAATATCCTTGCGCTAAAAAAACATCTCAGGAGATATCTGGTTGAAAAATGCTATTACTCTCTACATGAGTTTTACTAACACATGAAAGTATCTGTTTTTTAAATCCTTTTAAGCTGTTAATCATTTCGTTATCAGTGAATTGTCTATTATCGTGGAGTAAATGTATTTTACTTTCACTTTTTATTCGAGTTTTAACGAAAGTATGTATGTTTTCTTTTTAAGCTTTTAACCATTTGTCCTCACTGCTTGATGTTTGTTGTGTTTATTTATTATGTATTTCTAACAGATTCTACTACCGCTTTTCTTTGTATCAGCTTCAATGATTTTTACCGGCTAGACGAACATTTTTTGTGATAAAATAAGTCGCTGTATATGTATATATTTTTACCGTTACAGATTGAACACATTACGATTCTTGCACTGTACCTGTACCTTTAATATGATTTAACCTTTTAAAATGTTTTGTAATTGTAATGTCCTTATTTATTTTATAATTATAAGTATTTTTCTGGCATATTTGCTCAAACGCATATATGACCCTCAAGTTGAGATTGACAAGTCTTATATCAAGTAACATGATCTAATAGGACAATAAACTATCTATCTATCTAAATTGGTTCAGCTGAAGGTCGTAAACGATATCAATATGCTCGTCCAGCTCGTACTCGGGAAAATATAGCCGTAGTGAATGAAAGTGTGCGAGAAGATCCAACCACCTCGACTAGGCACCGTTCGCAACAAATGGGAATTAGTGAGACCACTTTACGCCGGATTTTACACATTGTGTTACACCTCCATCCATAGAGAATCCAACTAACAGAAGAACTGAAGCCGGCAGACCATCAACAGTGGCGTGTTTTTGTTAATTGGATGCTGGAAAGAGAAGACGGATTTTCGGCCAAAGTGCTTTTTTCCGATGAGGCTCATTTTCACCTCAATGGGTACGTAAAGAAGCAAAATTGCAGATTCTGGGGGGCTGAAAATCCAAATCCATATTATGAACAACCTCTTCATCCTGAAAAAGTGACTTTGGTGCGGATTATGGGCTGGTGGCATCGTTGGACCATTCTTCTTTGAAGATGCCGAAGAAAAGGCCATTACCGTCAACGGGGAACGTTATCGCGGCATGTTAACTGACTTTTTGTGGCCACAATTGGATCGTATTGGTACCGACGATCTTTGGTTTCATCAAGACGGAGCAACGGCTCACACATCTCGCCAAACAATCGCCTTATTGCACACGAAATTTCAAGACTGCATAATTTCACACGAAATTCAGATGTCAGTTGGCCCCCGAGATCGTGCGATTTAACACCTCTTGACTATTTTCTTTGGGGATGTTTGAAAGGAAAAGTGTATGCGAATGGTCCCCGGACAATTCAAGACCTAAAGCGCAATATTCGGACTGAAATTGCGGCTATAGACCCGATTATTCTGGGAAAAGTCATTGAAAATTTTGATGTTCCGATGTTGAACTGTAAACGAAGCCGCGGTGGTCACATGACTGATGTTATTTTTCATACATAAATGGCATAAACCAACCATCATTTATGAGTAAAAAAATTCGATCTCACCTCGTAAAAAGCGTGTTGATTTTTCAAATAGAAAAAAGGTAATAGATGGCGCATAATGAAAACTAGTATTATCTCACTTATTTTGTTGCTAAAATGCTTAGCCAGGTTGAAGGAGTCAACATACTGGATTGTGTAATTAATTTTTCAAAGATTGAAAATTTGCTGTACCACAATACATTGGGTACTGCGATAAAATTTCATAGACCTTCATCGCCTATCGAAATAAGAAATAAATATAGAAAGACAAGTAGAAGGCCAGCTACAGCTACCTGCCGTGGTACTTCACCTGAAGTACCTAGTGCATTTTACATTATTTGGGACTATACTGTTCGGGATTTCATATAGTTTTAGTAAATACTAGAGAACTTATTTAAATCAAAGATTTTTCTTTTGTTAATACCCTCAGTTTTTGAGTTACGTATTTTCGTCAACAAAACGTATAATTTAGAAACGATCCACAGCATCCGTCATATAATGAGTGACAAGAAAGGTAAAGACCTAGGTACGAGGGATGTCTTTTAAGTTTTGCATATACCTGTAGAAACATAGTAGGCCGCGCGGATCGAACGTCAGTATTGAATCTTAACCTCACTCTTTAGTAAACTTAAATTCAAAGTTTCACAACAATACGTGCAGTGTTCTCACTACAGTGGATTTTTAAGTGTCATCAAGTCATTAGAAAAATGGAACTCAACCGAGAAAATTTTCGCGCTATAATTTATTACAACTTTCAGAGACAATTATCGCAACAATAATGGGTGAGGTGAATAAAAGGGAGTAAATGCTTTTACTTCATAATTTTAAAGTAAATTCTTGGTAGTAAGTGATTAATAAATCTTTTACTTGTACTTGTCAAGCAAACACTTGCTATCTCGAGTTATTACTCCTAAAGTAACTATTTTGAGTGTTCACTTACGATTGCAGTGAATAACAGTAATAGAAAACTACGTATTAAGTAACTACTTTCATTTTCGCAAGGTCTAAACTAAATTATGGAATTTATGAATATACGTAAAGTTAAACAATATCGTGATCGAACAGATCTCAGATATAGTGCAAAACGTCTTTTAAGGTTTGAAAATGAAAATATCGATATCACTACAGACTATTTCTTACCAGAAACCAACGAAACTCGAGGTGGTGCTCTGTCCTTAAGAAAATATATTGAAATATTTCTCCGGTATATTAGCGACCCTGGTTTTCAAAGTGGTGTTGCAAACGATTTTGGTATTGAAAGAACAACGGTTTGTAAGACTGTAGATTATTTTGCACAAAAAAATATGGAGAATGCAGGTCAATGGATAGTGTTTCCAACAACCGAACGAGATTTAAACGAAGCAAAGACAAGTTGGGTGGCAAAATACAGGATTCCCACCGTAATTGGCGCACTTGATTGTACCCATATACAAGTTAAGAAACCTGAAGTGCAGTTTGGCGATGAGTACATAAATGGGAAAAATGTTGCTTCATTAAACGTTCAGATGACATGTGATGCAATGGAAAGGATCACAAGTATAGACGTGCAATGGCCTGGAAGTGTGCACGATAGTAGGATTTGGAGACAAAGTGCTGTTCAACAAAAACTTGCAAGATTCCAATGGAATGCTTGCTTGCTAGGGGAGAGCGGATATGGTATATCTCCATCGCTTTTAACACCATTTAGACAACCACAAACTGAATCAGAACGGCGGTACAACAGATTACATTCAAAAGAAAGAGTTGTAATAGAACGTGTATTTGGCCAACTAAAACAGCGCTTTCCAATTCTAGCAAATAGGATTAGACTCCCAATATCGAACGTAAAATAATCATATGTTGTGCTATACTTCATAATATTGCTAAGTATTTGCAGGATGAGTGGGACTATGGAATAGAAAATAAAAACGACGATCATGATGCTGTCCCAGAAATTGTTGAGCAAGAGTAAGGAGACATTAGACGTCTTGGTGAAGAAAAGCGCTTAGAAATAGTCCAAATAATAAATCAGTTTAATTCAATTTAAATAACAAAATATGTTTGCAACATATTTATCATAGTTAATAGGTATCAAATAAAAATTATGTAGCTCTTAAATACAGTTATTCTACACGATACTATATTTACTCGTACCAAAAGTTCTGATACATATTATACATGAGAAATTATAGATAAATTCTAATTATTCATAAATGTGTTAGAAAACTTACTTTAACAAAAGAAAATCTTGCAACCTAAATTCCGAATTAACTAAAGGATCGTCATTCTTTTGGGTATTAATAGCTTCGTTTTCTTGCTGACGTAGGTTTTTCAGTTGGAGTTCCTCTTTTTCAATTTGTAGTCTAGTTAGTTTCAGCTGCTCTAGTAGTACTAAGCGTTGAAATTCAGGAGTTGATAAACCTACAGTTTTTTCTGTTTCTGCTGCTAACAACCTGTGTTTTTAGAATTGTGGCCCCTGGACACGGAAGAAATATCTGCAGCATGTTCTTTGCGTAAAATATGTCTCTGCTGATTACACTTTCTTGTTTCTGTTGTTGCTTCGCTTACATTTAACTGTGTGGGAAGTAAAACACATTTATTACTGGAATCTAGCCCAACTGTTATTGCTCCTGGTATTTTACTGTATACAGGATTTTCTTCAGCATTTAAAATTTCTCGAAAATCTTTTTCCCATTGAAGTAGCTTGATTGGCGTATTTTCTGTTGATGACAAGTCAGTTTTTTCCTTAACAGTGCTTTTCATATTGTTAAGAAGTTTTTTCAACTGATCTATAGTTACGTTTTTCCCTGTATATTTTATGAATTCCTCTCTAATTATTATCCAGGCGGTTTCTTTTGCTGAAACCATTTTTGGTACCATTGACTTATTTAGTACTATTTTATTGTTTTCTAGCTGCAAGATTCTGACTAGCTATGCTCTGTTATCAGAAACAAGTTTCGGTTGTTTACTTTCTTCGTCACTAGAAGACATCCTAATTGTTAGTAATCTTGAGCTTTCTTGTGTCCGACTTAAAATAACTTAGTTAAACAAAAATATACAGAAACCTAAAGAGATTTATACGACGCGTAAGGTTTACAAAGCAAATACTCGTAAATAAGAGGATTTAAATATGTGAATAAGGAAAAACAAGCTAAGACTTGCACTCGCCGCAAGTATTACCTCAATATTAACAAGTAGACCTTTCTGAGTCATGCCACTCATTGCCAAGAATTTGCTTCAACTCTCAAGGCAACACTTTTCTCGTAAGTAAATGCTTATGAAGTGCTTACTTGGTTTTATTCACCTCACCCAATGCCTTGCTGAGTTACTGTTTGATTTCGGCAACGAAGTGCCACATCAGTCGACAATTTCCCGTTGGTATGGAGAATTTAAACGTGGACGGGTGAGTCTTAGCGACGATCCCAGGGTGGGTGCACCAAAAACGGCAGTCACCCGGGAAAACAACGATGCTGTGCGCAAACTCATCGTTGAATATAGACATGTGACATATCGCGAGATTGAGGCGTCCCTCTCAAAGACCTCAATTCAAAAAATTTTAAATGAAGAATTAGAAGTAAGAAAATTAGTTTCTCGTTGGATACCCCACCTGTTGACTGAAGAGCAGAAAGCAGCCAGGGTTAATTGGTGACAAAAACGATTGACCGTTTCAATTCCGGAAACTTAAAAAATGTGTACAGCATTGCTGGTGGTGATAAATCGTGGATTTACTGTTATGAACCAGAAAATAAATCACAGTCGGCTGTTTGGGGTTCCAAGGTGAAGAAAAGCCAACAAAAGCCATCCGTTCTCGAAGTGTTTCGAAAAAGATGGTCGCGACATTTGTGTCAAAAGCGGGTCATATTGCAACAATTCCTCTTAATGAGCAAAGAACTGTTACTGCGGATTGGTATACCACCATTTGTTTGCCAGAAGTCATCACCGAGCTTCGAAAAATCAACCTCGAAAGAAGAATCATCCTCCACCAAGACAATGCAAGCTCGCACATAGCTCAAAAAGCAAGGCAGTATTTAACGGAAGAAAACGTGGAATTATTGGACCATTCTCCATACAGTCCCGATCTAAGCCCTAACGATTTCTTTACTTTTCCGAAAATTAAAAACAGGCTGCGTGGTCAAAGGTTCCAGTCACCAGAAGAAGCAGTTGACGCATTCAAAAATGCCGTTCTGGATCTGCCAGCAAACGAGTGGAATAAGTGCTTCGAAAATTGGTTCGAGCGCATGCAGATGTGTATTAATCTTCGTAGAGAATACTTCGAAAAACAATAAAGTCATTTAAAACTACCGTGTTGTTTTATTTCCATATGCAAAACTTAAAAGACATCCCTATGTATATCCGATTTTAATAATTTTTAGCATATATGTTCAGTGTCCCTTATTAGCAAAATGATTGAACTTTCAGCTTGATTCATCAACTGACTGAAGAAGCTTGTTCAATAATGTGTTAAGAATCCAGAATGGAAATAATTTTAAATTTTAATTTGCATTTTTTCAAGTGTTGTGCAATGATTTTGGAAAAACATGTCACGAATAGTCTTATAAAGCATAGTAGAGTATATTTCAACAGTTGGCGGAACTTACTCCACTGGGACCAGGCGGGTGAAACGGGATATTAATGCACAATCTGGCAACCTTGTCGCACCCTCACAAAATGGCCGCTGACAACCACACAAGTCACCGTGTTGTGATTGAATAGCATGGAATTAAAGTATGTTTTGTTACAGATACCAAGAGTTGACAGAGCCCACACATGTGTCACTCCTTGAAATGCAATAATCAGCTGTATTCAAATAATATCTAATATAAATATAACCTAGAATGTGTACTCGTATAAAAAGAAAAATATGGCAAATTTTTTGTTTTTTTGCAGGTTTTATAGGTTTGCTGGTAGCTTTAAGGCATATACATATTTGGGAATTTCTTAATCGTGGATGTTTGTTCAGTTCCTGAACAACGAAAAATATTCAACTTTATGGATGTATGGATACCAAAAACCTGAATGGTTTTGTGGGAATATCAATCTAAGGTGCCATAATGGTTCTGATGAACGGCAAGTAAATGAATGAATGTTTGGAAACGAGCAATATATTTTGGTAGAGCCTGTCATCAAGTAGGTGCTTAATGGCTATCTGCAAGAGGTTTTTAGGAACGCATGAGCATCGTGCTGATAAGGTGGTCGATATCCTGTTGGGGTATCTCATTCCAGGCTACTGCAACTTTGTGAGAAGGAGCTGCTAAAGTCTGTGGAGGGTATTGCCAATTCAAGAGCCTGCGACCTATCATGTCCGAGACATGTTCAATTGGAGATAGGTCGGGCGATCCTGGTGGCCAAGGTGAACGGTTGATGCGATGTTTATCTATGAAGGCTAACGATGCTCTGGCAATATGCGGTCTGGCATTGTCTTGCTGCAAAATCGGGTTTTGGATGGTGTTTAGGTATGGAATAAGATGAGTCTCCACCACTTTCTGAATATAGCTTCGGGCTGACAGATTGCCTCTGATGAAAATAAATGGTGATCTGCTACCATAAGCAATAGCACCCCAAACCATAACTCTCACGCTCTCTGTCAACGAGGATTGTGAAACTTTTCAGACAATCCTTATAAAGGTGACCATTTCTATTGATTTATTAATGAAAAAATGCAGTTTCTTTGTTGAGTCGGTTAAAAAGTATTGAAAATTTCTTCGCCGCTGCTGAATATCTGCACGTGTAGTCATATTTGATGATGTTGATCTTGACTCGTATCTTTCAAATTAGAATAATACCACTAAAAAATCAGTACCTTTATGATATATGAATACTGGGGGATTTTTATTTTGGAAATAACCTCATTTTTTCAAATTCGTATTTTCCATAACAAAACGTGTAATTTGGCAACAATGCATAGTATTCGGTGTATGTGTCAGGCAATGAAAATTGTAAACCAGACAATCCTTATAAACGCTAAGAATTTTCAAAATATTGAAAAAATAACACCTCTATACAGTTTACACGATAAAAACTATCATATAAGGTATACACTTTCATCTGTGATTTCAACTTATTGTGTGGCTATTTTTTAAAGTATTTTCTTTGCAATAAACAACGATTTTCCATAGTTACACGCTTTCTTATTTTCTCCAACCGTTAAATTTGTTTGAAACATTCTAAAAATAACTTATTAATTATCGATGGATTTTATATGAGAGTAGATTAGCACTCTAACTAAAAGTTTTCACTTGTATCGCATCCTAAAAGAGATCGAAGTTTGACATTTTTTAAATTCGCAGTACCTTTGAAGCGTTGAAGTGTCAACCTGTCAGAACATGTAATGATTATGAGGTGTATAGTATTTTTAACTATGTCCACTTTAGTCCATTATACCTGGATGACACTACTGTATTTCATTTTACCTATGATAACTTTTTGGACACGGGAATATAGCACTAGAGTAGCTATATTTAGTCTAATCATATTAGCAAATTTCCCCGAAACAATGGTAAAGTCTGGTTTTATTGATGCAAGTTGTTCAACGGGGTATTTAAAACATTGACGCATAAAATAGGTACACCAGTTTTTGATTAGCAGAAAAAAAGGAAACCGTATTTCGCATGAAAATAACAATTATCTTTCGGAATGGCTTTTGATTCATGTCGGCACGGTAAACTCGTGTATTTTGCTATAAAATGCCCTTTGAACGAACACTGTACATTGCTCAATAAACTAGTAGTGATGGCCGGAAAACAGGTCTTTTGAGATAAACAATTAGAAATTCCCAAAAACTACTTGACCAATCTACACCAATTTTGTTGTGGTAGAAGTACGAATCCTACGAATTTGAAGAATTTCAAATATTTGCGAGAAACCATCGTCGCATTACCAACAACTGCCAAAACCTGCAGCTTGCTTATGTTTTCGACCATAACTTCTTTGCTATTAGTCGGATCTTTTCACGTGTGGTTTCATTCTGCAGGCCTCATAAATACCTGATGATACCAAAGAAATTTTGTTAATACGATTTTTTAACTGCCTAAGGTTAGTAGAACTGGGAAAAGCTTCCTCTTGCAGATTATTCCACAATCTCGACACTCTCGGGACAAAGGAGCGGTCGTATCGGCCAGTTCTGGATGTACAGGCCAGCAGTGTTTTTTCGTTCCTGCCAACACTTTCGATTGAATCCCAAAAACACATTTTCTCATACTCTGTTGTCGAATAGAAAGTTTTCCCACAAAAATGTTTGCACTCATTTTATGCACCCTTGTTTCAAATACCCCCTTGAACAACTTACATCAATAAAACTAGATAATTATTTTGCAAACCAGGGGTATCTTCGTCTAATATGATTAGACTAAAATACGTTGAATAATGATGCATATTACCGCTAAGCTGCTAATGAACAATCTCCGTTATAGATGTAACCAATGCACATAGAGTATGTAACCACTATATGCGCTTTCAACTATAAATTACTTATTGTACATGCCTAACCTTGCCTAACTATACCAGCCGAACTTTCTAGTTTGTTGTATGTGCACACTAGAATATGTTGCATGTTCAACAATCTATTTCAAACTAAATTGATATAACTTTCTGGTGGTATTTGCTTTTAGCTGCATTTCATTGTTTCTGTTTGCTCTACTATACGATATACTCGTATGCCGATGCACGACTTTCCGTACCTGATTATATAAAGTATATTATCTGTTTGTGCTTTATACGTCGAGCACTGTGAACAGCTTTAGGCACCGGTGTGTAATAATCAAGCTGAATCAGCGAGTGAGTATAAAATTAGCTGGAAATATACGACAATAGCCATTCTCGATCTCAAACTAAAATTTCCGAATTCCATACTACGTATATAACTATCTAAAACTGTAATGACTCATCGATGTTCACGTGAACATCACTTAACTACCAGTATTCGGCTGTTCATAGGCGGGGTATGAATGTTTAACATGGGTGAACTAGATTTGTCACATGCTTAATAAAGAGTGGTTTGAAACGCATTGTAAGTCAAAAATTTGGGAATTACCTTTATTCATCGTCGCTTCCACTTACATCTGACAGTAATAAACTATCGCTATCGCTTTCCTCGTTGAAATAGACTATAACTGGCTCTATGATGGTGTCGATGTGGTGGTCAAGCTGCCACATTTTTCTTTCTTCCTTCACAACATGATGGATAGCATTCTGCTAAGCTTCGGGCGTTACTAGCTGTATGGAAGTCTCAAGTAAAACCTTAACATCTGGTAATTTGAAGGTTGTGTTATGGCGCGCAATATAACCCTTCACTTGAGCCCAGATGAGTTCTATTGGGTTCAGTTCACAGTGGTAGGGCGGTAACCGCAGCACAGTGACACCACATCTCATCAGTCACGTAACTAATGTTCGCAGGTTTGTGCTGTTTAATTTTTTCATACAATTCCGCTTCCACACATGAATCGTCAAACGGGATTCCTTTTTCGCGCAACCCTTGCTGCATGTCACTTTTTCGAGATCCCATAGTCGGTACACGTTCGGCTCGAGGACTATGTTAGGAAGCATTATCCATGACGATCACAGAGTTGGGCTCAACTCGCTGAAGCACCCCTTGAAACCAGCTCTCGAAGCAGCTGGCATTCATTTCGTCATGGTAATCACCTCCTTTCTTAGAGACGAAAATCAAGTCACACTCTTCTAAAAAGCCACTATCGCTACCAATATGAGTTACGATCAATCTTTGACCTTTCCCTGACGGTCCACGAAGACCTGTTGACAAACCTTCAATGCTTGCTTGTCGGTTACTCACTACGTTTTTGTCTATCCAGGTTTTTTTTTAATGTGTGACCTGCATTTACCTATGTCTCGTCCAAATAATAGATTTTTCTGCTTTGTCGCCTATATTCAATCATTTCGCGTAGGTATTTTCGACGCCAGGCGACTATTTCAGGTCTGTCTATCAATACTGACTTCCGATTACGCGTTTCGTAACGAAAATTAA